CATAGGGAAGAGTGTGGCCAGCAGGTCAAGGGAGGTCATTCTGCCCCTCTACTCTGCACCGGTGAGGCCACAACTGGAATACTGCATCCAGTTCTGGGCTCCCCAGTTCAAGAGGGACAGGGAACTACTAGAAAGAGTCCAGCGTAGGGCTACAAAGATGATTCAAGGACTGGAGCATCTCCCTTATGAGGAGAGGCTGAAAGAGCTGGGACTCTTTAGTCTGGAGAAGAGAAGGCTGAGGGGAGACCTTATTAATGCCTACAAGTATCTCAAGGGCGGGCTGAGGGAGGAGGGAACCAGACTCTTTTCAGTAGTTGCCAGTGAGAGGACGAGGGGCAACGGGCACAAGTTGGAACATAAAGGGTTCCACTTGAATATGAGGAAGAACTTTTTCACGGTGAGGGTGACGGAGCCCTGGAACAGGCTGCCCAGGGAGGGTGTGGAGTCCCTTTCTTTGGAGATTTTCAAGGCCCGCCTGGATGCAGTCCTGAGTAACGTGCTCTAACAAGCTCTGGGTGGTCCTGCTTTAGCAGGGGAGTTGGACTAGATGATCTCTATGGTCCCTTCCAACTCTAAAATTCAGTGAAATTCAGTGAAATATTTCCTCTTTGTAGATCTCCCGAATCAGATGTAGAGAAAAAATTTCAAACATAGCAATACAGAATTGCTGCATCTACTGCATAACTCCAACTCTTGAAAATGGAAAGAATTCACTTCACATCACCAATTTATAGAGGAATTAGTTATTTATAGAGGACAGAAAGGCACAGCAATAATCCATGCTTGGATTTTGAGGCCAGAGAACTTCAAATTCAACACAGATTTGTAGTGAAAACGACAATAAATCACCAGAACAGATTACCAAAGAAAATGATAGATTACACATCTCTTGTGTTTCAAATAAAGATTAGATGTGTTTTTGAAAGATAAGCTTTAGCTAAACATTTTAGGACAGTAGAAGAGAAATTAATGCAGTTGTTTGACCTATTTCACACAGAAAATGAAAGTAGATGATCTAACTTTCCCTTTTTGTTTCAAATGCACCTTTCAATTAAATGTTTTTTTATTTATGTTCTTATTTTTGTTTCAGAGAATCTCAGATTGATGTATTCTAAAAGACAAAGAAGCTTTTAATTTAAGAATCTGATGGTTAATTGCAGTAGTGAATCCAAATATTCGGGTGTTAAGGGTTTTATTTGATATGACTATTCTCTGGGTAATTTAATCAAAGTCAGATGGTGGACAGCGCATTCTTTTTGGTAAGTGTTTCAAGACATTGTTGACTTCCCTCTGATAGCTGCTTTTCAAATAAAATTATAGTTTCTTGAAGGCCTAATTCATCGCTAAACCTATATTATTAACTTTATGTCCTATTTGGCTGGTAGAAAGATTATAATTCAAATATCGAAGCACAGAAGGGTAGTTTAAAATCATTCTCTTTTATTTGTGACAGATTCCTGGCTTGGCAGAGCCTGTCTCTTGCCACAAAAGTTGGTGAGTACAGAATTTGTGATAAAGCTCCAATATTTTTATAAGAGAAACTTGGGGAGAAATGAGACTGAGTGGCTATGAATATATCTGTTCTGGCTTTGCTGCCCCTTCTGACCGCTCTATCTTTCCACTTAAGAAAAGAGATATTTCTAGTATCTATGAGTTCCTCCCTATTCATAATAACTGGAGCACCTAAAACTGACAAAAAAGGAAAAGTAGAGAAGAAGCTATTTGGTGAAATTACTTCAAATGCCAAACCAGTCATCTGCATTGCTCTTGTGTCACCTGCGGGGAGTCAGAAGCAAGCTGGGGGTTGTGTGTTTGACAAGGATGTGTAAGAAACACTCTTTATAATATACGATACGTAAAATATTGTGACATGTTGAAAATCTTGTGATGAATAGAAAGGCCGCTGAAGCTCACAGAAGTGTATATACACAGAAGTGTATCCCCCAGAAGGGGATACCTGGGACCATGAACTTATAGAAGCTCATGGAAGACAGAGGTGTCACCACTGCTGTATTTGAATTATGTTATTTCAGGAAGCAAAGAGTGAATATTACTACAAATTTTTTTGCATAAAATCATACAATGACACAATAGTTAGTGTTGAAGGGGACCTTTAAAGGTCATAGAGTCCAACCGCCTCTGCAATAAGCAGGAACATCTTTCACCAAATCAGGTTGCTCAGAGCCCTGTCCGGCCTGACCTTGAATGTTTCCAGGGATGGGACATCTACCACCTCTCTGGGCAACTTCTTCCAGTGTTTCACCACACTATTGTAAAATACTTCTTCCCTATACCTATTCTGATTCCACCCTCTTTAAATTTAAAGCCATCTGCCCTGGGTCGAGAGACACAGGACTAACTTTTCTTCTAACGCTGGGGAAAATTGCACTTTTAGAAGACTTTAGTGTCTGAATTTGTGAAAATATTTACTTTATAGCCAGCCAGGCTCTGTGGGATTCAAGGTTAGTGTCTTCAAGCCTTGTTAGGTGCAGGGACAAGGAGGAGCAAGGCCTGGACATTTGACCCAGGCTGGCCAACAGGATTATTTCATACCAGGAACGTCACATTCAGCATAAATTAGAAAAGTTTGCTGCGTAGGTCTCTCTCCCTTGATGGCTGCAGTCCAGACAACTCCTTGCCTCGGTGCCGGACCCCTGAGGCCTTCCCTTCCTCCTGAAGACATTGCACTTGCAGTGTCCGACATTTGCTGTCCCTGCTGGGAGTGCACAGCTTCCTGCTGATATAATTGTCTGAGTATAATTCTTTTATATCTTATATCAGTATCGGGAATAATACTGTTTTTTTAGTATTACTGTTAATTATTTAGTCTTAGTCTATTAAATCTATTTATATTTCAACCCTTGTGTTTCTTTGTGTTCCCCAATTCCCCTTTCCGGGCGGGGAGGGATCATCAGGTGATAGAATAATTGTCTAAACAACAATAGATTGTTATGGGTTTTCTCAAACCGTACCACCATCTTTCAATGTTAATATCTAGAAATGTTTTATTATCTGTTCCAAACAATTTATTAATGGACTGCTACAAAGGTGGCCAGCTCTGAACAGCTCTGCTGAAAAGCTGCAGGCATGCCATACTAAACACCATTAATATCTGTTTCAGAGTGATCCAGAGTGCCTTTGTGCACAACAGCCCCAAGGCCTGGATCAGCTGCAACTGGAACCACTCAGTGGAAGTAGCTCAGTCAGTCACAGCATCTCACTGGACTCCTCACTGTGCAATACAAAGAAGGGCATAAATCAGGAAAAGATTTTGGCCTCTAACCCTCACACAAACTAGATCTGGACAGCAAAAATTAATTCCTTGTAGGCATACCTGACTAACTGTGAACTTTTTTTCCTATACCTGTTGGGAAGCAGAACATTTTTGTAGGTTCGCAGAATCATAGATTAGTTCAAGTGGGAAGGGATCTCAGGAGGACATCAGGTCCAAACTCTGCTCAGATAAAAGCTGCCTTCAATGATAGATCACTTTGTTCAGGGTCCTTTAGCCCACACTGATCTCAGGCATCTGCCCAGTCTTGCACTGTGCTATGAATGCATGCCTAAAGGTAGCTGTACAAGGTGTCTTTTGACTCTGCTTTTTCACTGCCAGCTCATGTCCAGTTTTTCATCCACCAGTTTGCCCAAGTCCTTCTCCACAGAGCTGTTTTTAATCCATTCATCCCCCAGCCTGTTTTGATACTGGGGATTGCTCTGTGTTCAGTTCTGGGCCCTGTGTTCAGTTCTGGGCCCCTTGCTACAAGAATGACATTGAAGCACTGGAGCATGTCCAGAGGAGAGCCACCAAGCTGATGAGGGGTCTAGAGAGCAAGTCCTATGAGAGGCTGAGGTAACTGGACATGTTTAGTTTGGAGAAGAGGAGGCTGAGGGGAGACCTCATTGCCCTCTAAAACTACCTGAAAGGAGGTTGTAGAGAGGTGGATGTTGGCCTCTTCTCCCAAGTGAATAATGACAGGACCAGAGGAAATGGTCTAAAGGTGCGGCAGGGGGGGAGTAGGGTAGACATTAGGAAGAATTACTTTACTGAGAGGGTGGTCAGGCACTGGAACAGCCTTCCCAGGGAGATGGTGGGGTTGCCATCCCTGGAGGTATTTAAGAAATGTGTAGACATGGCTCTTCAGGGCATGCTCTAGTCCCTGAGATTGTTGGGTTGTGTTTGTGGGGTTTTTTTTGGTTTTTGGTTGGACTTGATGATCTCAAAGGTCCCTTCCAACCATGAAGATTCTGTGATTCTTTGCTCCGACCCAAGTGCAGGACCTTGTACTCAGCCTTGTTGAACTTCTTGAGGTTCACATGGGACCACTCCTCAAGCCTGTCAAGGTCCCTCTGGATGGCATCCCTTCCCTCTATCAAATCAATTACTTCATTCAGCTTGGTGTCATACACAAACTTGCTGATCATGCCCTCAATTCCACTGTCTATGTTGTTAATGAAGATATTAAATAACATTGATCCCACTACGGACCCTTAATGGACACCACTCGTTACTGGCTTCCTTTTGGACATCGAGACATTGAGTACAACTCAACAGCCATGTCTTAGTTTTTCATTTTGTACTGTTCTAATGTCTCCATTCTGGGTCAGATGTTTTTGCTTCTTTTTAATTTAAAACTGTGTGTTCTGTAAAGATTTATGGACCCACTGAATTTAGTTATTGAACCCCACGGCAGAAAGTTCAGGACAACAGCACAGTGGATTTTCCTAAGAATAATATGATCCTGAATTACTGCATGTTAAAAATATTCCACATAGAATACTTTCTATGTGGAATAGAGTAGTTTTTCCTATGGAGAGTACATTACTTTAGATAGAAACATTTTTCTACAGTCTGGAATAAATTAAGATGGGTCTGTGAATTTCTAGCGTGCACTGATGCCAATTAAATAGTAAGAACTCCTTATATTTTTTCTTTAAAATGAAGTGGTATTCATTCCAAACTGTTTACTGTCATCTGTGATTCCAAAATGTGTCTTACTTACCATGAGATTGTTGTCAGTTCTCTTCCCAAAAAGTACTTTGTTTCAACTGGAGTAGTAGAATAGGATCAGCCAAATTTCTAAAACTGAAAAAATACATTGAGGATGAAAAGTCAGAGAATATGGTTATGATGCTGAACAATGGCAGCACTAGCAGCAAGTACCTTTCTGAGCAGTCAATGACCTAGAAAAAAAAATCACTCATTTTCTTGACAAGGTACCTAATGTGGTTTGTCACAGAGTGTCTGACCTAACGCTGATCAAAGTTCTTACAGACAATGTGACCAGCTCCTCTGCAATTCTCTCCTCAAAGAGTGCTCTTGAAAGGGCTTAAGAACTATGCTCACAGATCTGTGGGTGCGGGTAAAAGACTGCCCACATCCACTCTGCTCATGTTAGTCATGGCAACAGACTCAGGGTAAGGTAAATTTACAGGCACACACACACACATACACATACAAACACTAGCCATGAAAAAAATTTCAACAGATGAAGACCAAGATTCACATCCATTTGGGCAATTATTTCTGTGTAGGAATGAAATATTAGGTCTTGCTTGTACATCCAGGGGAAAAAAAAAAAAAAAAAAAGAAATACATGCAGTAAATCTGATGCTGTCAGAGCATATCGGATTCATTATGTGTGCACAAGCACAGCTCACGTCAGCCTTCCCAGACTGACTGTAATACTCTGTGCTGTGATCTCTACATGCACTGTAGAAATGCACAGCAGCCCCATCAGACATACTATGCAATATAAATAGTGGGACTGCCAGATGTAAAACAAAAAAAACAAACAAACAAAACATAAAAAGTCATAGTATAATCCAATTATTTTGGAATAAAATTTTCATGTAGAGAGAAGAAACTGGGAAAAACCAGGTATCTGGTAGCACTGCCTTATGTTCGCTTGGGAAGGTTTCTTGGGTTCAGTGTGCCAGAGGTACACACAATTTAATGCAATACATTTATTCACTCTAATGGTCCCAAGCAATATAAGGTTCTACTTTAGATAGCACCTATTCATTCAAGGCTTCTGAAGAGCAAATTGTTTCAATCAGGTTGAGAGAGTTGGGACTGTTCAGTCTGGAGAAAAGAAGGCTCCAGGGAGCCCTTTCAGCAGCCTTCCAGTACCTGAAGGGGGCCTGCAGGAGAAATGAGGAGGGACTCTTCATCAGGGTGTGCATTGATAGGATGAGGGGTAATGGCTTTAAACTGAAAGAGGGGAGATTTAGATTAGATATCAGGAAGAAATTTTTCACTATGAGGGTGGTGAGACACTGGAACAGGTTGCCCAGAGAAGTTGTGTATGCCTCATCCCTGGAAGCGTTCAAGGCCAGGCTGGATGGGGCTTTGAGCAACCTGATCTGATGGGATGTGCCCCTGCCTATAGCAGAGAGCTTGGAACTAGATGATTTGTAAGGTCCCTTCCAACCCCAACCATTCTGTGATTCTATGTTAATCTAATTTTTCTTTACTTCTCTTCACTTTGTCCACTCCATATTGCAACTGCATTCCAAATGATATAGTAATAGGAAATAATATTCTGGAACAGGACTGGACATTATGCATCTTCCAGGTAGAAAGTGGAGCTGCAGTGCATGTGTGTTCCAGGTTATTTGGACCAAGATGGGCCTTCAGGAAATAAAAGGTTCCTTTAAATTAGAGTGGTATTTTGTTTCCTGGAAGCATGCTTTTATGCATGTCTGCTTATGTCTGGGTGTTTTTTTGTTTATATTTTATATATACATACATATCACACACATGCACACATAAATATATTTTCTCTTAAAACAAACCTAAAGAGTCCCAGAAAGTCAAGATAGCAAGAGACAGAAAGTCTATGCCTGATGCCTTTTTTGGTAGTTGGGATTCTGCCTGTGCATTTGAACTTTAGAAGAGTTTCTGTGTGTATACTTCTGAAATCAGATCTTGGGCATCTTCCAGATGCTTGAAGTGGTCTTAATCAAGAATCCCTGAAGATTTATCCCTGAATAAATCAGTTATGAAAGCATTACTTCCAGAGGTGAATGGCTTTCAGTTCATCATGTGATCTAGTTCCGGGGCTTCTCATAAGTTTCTCAAAACTTGGATTTTGCTTCCAACTGTGAAATAACTGTAATAGGTACTCATTTGTTTGTTGTTACTTCTTCATTTATTGAAGGCATCTTTCTGGTACTTTCCCTGGAGTGCCAGAGTGCTGAAGTGATGGCAAGGTGCCATTTCAGGATAACAATTTCAGATGGAAATAAAAGCTATCAATGAGAAACAGAATGAAGAAACCATATTAGGGAAGGAAAAGGCTACTAGAGCCAAATAGATAGATAGATAGATAGATAGATAGATAGATATAAGGGAGCATATCTGAGAAACCGTATGAGTACAAAATGTTTGGCAGAGGTCTCTTCAGATTATATACTTTTATTACATCATATACTTTTATTACATTATGTCTGAGAAGTTCACTTTTTTCCATTACATAAGAAAGTTAGTTTCCGCTTCCTGCTGCAGGTGGCAAGGGAAGCTGCTGCAAGGACTGTAGTGTTGGGGACAGCAGCTGCAGAGCTTTCATAAGGACAACCTCCTTCTGAAAAATAGTCACCAGCAATGCAACCATTATTTAGTAAAAGAAAAAAGTGCCAAGTGAAGACAAACATCAGTTTAGAATTTCTTTTATGAAGTAGTCTTCTTTGTCTGTAGCACCCAACAAGCATGAAATCAGACTCGGCTCTGATATGAACTGGCCAGCCTTGCAGTGGAATCAGAGAGACTAACTAACAATGTAGAAGTCAAACACTTAAGGTCAGTCCAAAAAACACAGATTGATTTTAAATGTTCCAGAACACAAAAGTTTAGAATTTCATGCTTATCCACCAAAACAGTATGACATTAGCTATGAGTTATAACTGCAGAATCTAAGCAGATCTGCATAAAATTAATAGCTTTGCATGCACAATAATTACTTCAAAATCTCACATAGCCAAAATAAGCAGTAAAAGAGATTGTGAATATGGATGTGCTATCATTAGTCTTTTAAATACTTGCTGTTGTAGAACTGACTTATGTAATTAACAAATGATCCGATAAAAAACTCCATGTTACTGTGCTCTTTCCCACAAAGAATTGCTCTTACAAACGACTGTTAAATACTCTTGCTGTCATAGGAGATTTGAGTGTAAAGACTGATTTTGGCTAGTTCTTTGTTCACATTGTCTGATTGTAATATGGATTAGTGGCACAGATGACTGGACTGATAGATTTGACTCAGTGTTCTGTAACTGTATCTGTAACACTCTCTAGTACAAGAGCTGATATTAAGTATTATTACATTATTTGTGATCAATGTTTCTTTGGCAACAGGAAAGGGACTAAATACATTTTGACATTTAATGGGATGAGACTAACAGAACCACCTGGAAATTCAGTAGGTTGGTGAGACATGAAGACAGCTTGAAAACAGGCTGGGAAAGCTCTTGAAAAGCTATAAAGTTCTCAAGAAGTACATAAAGCTAACCAAAAATTTAGTTTGACCAAAGTCACAAAGAAGATTTGTTTTCTATTTTATTAACCTGAACTACATTTCTTCCATTCAGTTTTGATTTTTGGCTTCAAATAAATCCAAAAACCTTCAGAGACAGTAAATATTAAGATGCTGGTGCCTCTCCTGATGTGGAGCCCAGTACTGTTGTTGATATATATTGACTGCTGAGGATTTCTTTGACTTTTCCATATAATTGAGTGAGTAAATAGCTGCTGTACTAATTTTTCAGTCTAAAAAAATATTTTAGCCACTCTGCATAAACAGCATGTTTCATACCAACATCTTTACCAACAGTTATGAAGATTTGGCTTCACTACAATTATTGATTTGTGTCAAATTAGCAAAAGCAATTTGAGCCAAAAAAAGGGGGAAAAAACCCCAAAACATACAGAATTACACAGCTTTATTCTGGGTGATGCACAAACCTCCCAGCTGGAACTCAACCTCCCAGCTGGAACTCAACCTGGCCATTAATATAAAGGACAACTAAAAAAGTTTCTATAAATATGTTGACAAAAAGAGAGTCAGGGAGAATGTCCATCCCTTACTGGATGCAGGGGGAAACATTGCGACCAAAGACGAGTAGAAGGCTGAGATACTTAATGCCTTCTTTTCCTCTGTCTTTAATTGTCAGACCAGCCACCCCCAGGGTATTCAGCCTCCTGGGCTGGAATATAAGGATGGTGAACAGAACAAATCCCCTGTAATCCAGGAGGAAGTAGTTAATGATTTGCTTATGCACCTGGGCACGCGTAAATCTATGGGGCCAGATGGAATTCACCCAAGAGTATTCAGGGAGCTGGTGGGAGGGCTCACCAAGCCTCTCTCCATTATCTATCAACAATCCTGGAGGGTTTGACTGGAGGGTGGCCAATGTGACGCCCATCTACAAGAAGGGCCAAAAGGAGGATCCGGGAAACTATAGGCCTGTCAGCCTGACCTCGGTACCAGGAAAGATCATGGAGAGGGTCATCTTGGGAGAGCTCTCACGGCAAATGCAGGGCAGGCAAGGGATCAGGGCCACCCAGCATGGGTTTATGAAAGGGAGGTCCTTTTTTTTGTTTTGCTTAAAGAAGGTGGGTCTAATACTGTTTTCAGCTGCTGGGACTGTGGGGTCTTACTCTGTGTTATGAATCTTGCTCCCAGAGCTGGGCATGTGTCAGTGCTGAAACAATTTTCACTAGAACAGGTTTTCATTGGAAAATGTTGGTTCCATCTAAAACAAAATTTTCTGCTGCTCTGTCAGTTTCACACACAACTGTAATTTAAAAATTAAAACCTGTTATAATGGGGACACAGCTGAATGTTTTAACATTGCTATAACAGAACACCTGAAACTTTCATTTAAAAAATTATTTTTACATCATGGTTGTCTTTTATATATGCTAAAATAAAGTTATATTAACAGATATATTCCACACAAAATCTTTCTGATAACTGGAAGCAGTTTATTACAATTTCATTTTGCAGGCAAACTCAGATTGTTTGAGAATTATCTTAGAATTCAAACCTACATTTTGAAATATTGACATTTCCCATGGAGTTC